TCAGGCAAGTGCAAGTGCAGTAAATGCGACTTTCGACTTACTTAACTTCAGCTTAAATAACTTGCTGCTTATTTGGATGGGAGTTAGTGAAAGTGAAGCTGGCTCAAGACTCTGAAAAATGTATAATCGACTCGCACACACACACACACACACACAGGAGTTGAACACGCACGCGTCGCTGTAAGTGCCAGCTAAGTGCCGGAAAATTGCAACGAGCTGCTGATGAGTTGCTTGGCTCAGTTTGCTTTGGGCGTTGCCAGTGGCCTGCGACCGGTGTCCAGTGGCCAGTGGCCGCAAGTGGCATGCATCATAATCAAGTCGTGCCATGAATTATCGTGTCTGTTTATCAAATCTTAATGTGTGGGCCACGCCAATTTCATACACCTTTCCAAGCATAACTAGTCGACTTGTCAGCTATATCATTGCCTGCCACATAAACCAAAACAGCTTATGAATTGTTTTTGGCCACAAATTTAACATCTGATTGCAAAACAAGCTAAAAGCTTGTAAAAGAAATTTACTTACAAAAAATATTGAAATGTAAGCTAAAGCCTAGCTGGGACTCTATATCATTTTGCAATTGGGCTAAGCTTAACTTCACCTTAGAGAGTTGTCTTTCAGAGTAGTAAAACTAAAAGCATCAAGCATCCTGCTTGAACAGCGATATCTCTTCATAAGCTTTGGCAATTATTCAATTTGAAGTTAAATGTTTTGTGAACCCTAAATGCAACCAGATTAAATCCCTATTGAGGTATTTCTCTCTCTCGCGCTCCATCTCGCTCTCTGTCTTTCTCTATGGCATGCCAGTTGGTAGTTGGTATGTGCAACGCATCAATGGTATGAAAAGATCTTTGAGTCGCGTGACGTCACCAAGCACAATCAACATAATTGACGCCCATTTAACGCCCACTTAACCGCGCTCGCATTACAAATGCGGCCCATTGCAACACGCAGGCTGAACAATGTGATAATTACACGGCTGACGCCCACGCAGCCACCGTTGGCCCCCGTCGCGCCGACCTCCGCGCCCAACCTCTTCTGGCCACAAAGCCGAACAAAGCCAGATAATCAGCGAATTGTGAATTTAAATTGAAGAAGTGTCATGTTTAAAATACAATGTAAAATCACCGACAACAATCGCAATGTGCAATTTCGTTTGTTGTTGTTGTTTCGTATCAAAATGACTAAACATATGTATGTGTCATGGTGCATAAGCAGACACACACACACAGACAGTCTCTCATCCCATTTGCTGTGGGCACGACGCGCTCAATTTAACGCATACGCCCCGTTGTACCGCAGTCTCGACATCGTCATCAGGGTCATCATGTTACGAGTGCTCGGCGCTCGCACACCCATACATCATGCCGTTTATAGTTAAACTACACTCACACACACAGTCGTACCCTCGCTTACTATAATTATTTGGTTTGCCTCACTTCTGTCTGTAGTTTCTTTCTCCCTGGCTTCTCTTTTTTTCACTTTATGTCTGACTCGGTGCGCGTTAATCATTATGAAATATCTGTATTTTGCTTTGCTTTGCCTGGCTTTTCTTTCTGCTCCTTCTGCTCATATTGTTTAACACTTTCATAATTCCCCAACAACATCGGCAACAATTGCAATAATCACTTTTATGCTGTATTTATCACTTACGTCGCGTTAATTAATTTAATATACAGATTCGATATAATTATTTTTTCCTTAGCTATTTCCACACATCTCTTTCCCTACTTCTTTCTCAATTTTTATACTAATTTGGAAATACATTTTAAAAGCTGCATTATTATCAGATCTGATTACTCCAGTTCCTTGAAATACGAGTCAAGTTCTCAGGCCTTTCTGCTGATATTTTGATTAATTTAATTTATACTCTAAGCATATGGAATAGCATTCACTATGTCAGCATCAACTTTCGGTTATTCTTTATTGATTTCGAGGTTACATATGTCTAGCTACGGGGTATCTTTGAGTCTGTTTTTTTAGTTATTTTTCTTAGTTTGCAGTTTCGTGACTTTCTGAAGCTTTCGCGCGTTGCTTTCGTTTTTCGTTGATTGTTGACTGACTGAACGAATGAATGATTGATGAGCAGACACTCACTCGATGAAAGTGTTGCGCGATTTGTGTCTGTCGTCTGCCTCTTCAGTTGCTTTCATCGGCTTCGAGCTTAAATTTGCCACATTCAGCGCAAAAAGCAGCCAACGGCTGCTCTTTTGTTTTGGCCACAGCCAAATGGAAGGAAAATTGTAACTGAAACAATTTATAATTATTCTCTTTTGTCTTGCTTTCGTTTTTGTCTGGCGTCTCGTTGCCAACAGTTGCCAATTCAATTCAGCGTGAATATTGAATAATTGTTGTGCAATTCATATCATTTACAATAATAATCATAATAACAATACCAACAATAATAACATAATCATGCAATACCAGCAGCCATTCGAGTACAGTAAACATTCAGTTTATTAGAATGAAATTTGACGCTTTGATAATGTCAGCGTTTAATACCATAGTTAAATAGTTAATAGCACAGCCTCCCACGCCTTTCTCTATATGTTGCAGAGGCCAGCATTTGTTCACGTTTCCATAGGTGCTATTTGTGTTTGCTGATTCGCTTGATAATGAGTCTACCTGTGGCTTTTTCTTTGTCCAACAGACAGTCAATTGCGCAAATCAGAGAACGCGTCGATAAGCCAGCTGCATAAGACAATGACTAGCCTAACATACAAATACCCTATAATTTGTGTCTACTTATCTATCTGTCTACCCAGCTATCTATAAACGTATCTACACATATACCTATCTATCTATCTTCCCATCTATCTATCTTTTTATCTATTAACTTATTTATCCACATAGCTATTTGTTTGCCTGTTCATCTTTATATCTGTCTATCACATATATACTTATGTTCCTATCTAGTTATTCGTCTACATGTATATATCAAAATATCTATGCAGCTCTCTATCATCTATCTTTCTATCATATTAATATTTATATCTAGCTATCCATCCTTTATTTCTAGACTTATACTTCTATCAATCTTTATCGAAATATAGATACATCTTGTCCCTTCATCCATTCTCTGTCTCCGTTCAATTGTCTCTCAACCTGCCAAAATGAAAGAGGGAAAAATAAAATCTGATATTTCCATTGCCTTTAGACAACCTTATTCATTTCGCACAAGAACAGGGTATTCCGTTTATAAAACGTGTTGTGCTCGCCTTAAATTGGGCATGGCCGTCAATGAAACGCTCCAACGAGCTGATCAAATAAATAATAAAGTAATTTATACTTAATACACGGCATATCGATGCCACAAGCCGAAATGTGTTTGACACAATTTCTGGCCAGCGCTATCGAAAATCATCAAACAGCCGGGCAGCCCCCACAGTCGTCACACAAGTGTAGCTCACTTCGCAACCAGAGCCCGGACTCCGACCCGAATCTGAATCCCAACCCGAAACATACCCAGACAACGGCCAATTACACTTAACAAACTCATTATGTTCCGTTTTCCAGCCAAAAAAAAAAATGCATAAAAATAAAAATATCGAAAAAAGCCAGCAGCGGGTGTCAATATGCAAGACAAGTAGTCGACTGGAGGATACCCTAGACGTGGGCAACAAATTCCTTGTCAATCATAGGCAATTGCTTATTTATAGATATCGTAGTAATCTACATCGCTTTCGATTAGCTAAGCTAAGCTTGATTTGCAAAAGTTCTTAAGCTGCACAGACAGCGAAGCTCTTTAGAGTGAGGCAACATGAAAACTGTAAAGCAATAGTCAAGACATCGAACTTTAGACATTTTTCAATGAGTACAGGGTATACGAAATATAGAAAAAGGCCAGCGAAATACCGTTAGCATTGCATGCAGTGAAAATTTGACTTCATGTTGAAATAAATCCGCAGCCAAACAGCCAACAGCAGCAGCGGCAGCAGCCCATATGAAAGGCGGCTCGTGCTGGATAGGTGGCAGTTGGTGGGCGCCGGGGGCGTGTTGCAAGCCATGGCAACTACATGAGCTGTGGGAGGGTCGGAGGCTAGCTGGATTGGCTGGCTGCTCGGCTATCTGACAGGCAACATGGCTAGAACAAAATTTATGCCAGCTGCCAGCTGCTTACATTATTATCGACTTTTATCGAGGCGACATTTGACTGGTCAACGGCAGCTAACAATAACAACAGCCGACGACAGCAGCAGCAGCAGCAGCAGCAGTAAGAACAGCAACAACTACAAATTTGAGTCCAGCCACTGAAGCTAAATGTAATTGAGCCGAGTGCCAACGAGTGCTGGCACGAGTGGTGCAGTGCTTAGATCTTACAGTTGATATCACAAAATATTTTCTGGCATCGCCAAGCAAATGTCTTAAGAATTTTGCATGCAACGTTTTGCAGTGTTGCCAGCAATGACAACTGACTGATGTATACGCTATACAATATGTAGAATTAATCGATATGTGCTTGTGATATCGATAAATATCAAGAGTATATGTGTATGGGAAACTTGCTTTTGCAACTCCCACTTGGATAGTTTAGATAGGAATAAAATGAACAAGTGCGAGGTCTGCGCGTATAGCAAATTTCTAGTTGGAGCCTTCGTCTTGAATCCACTTTATAAATTTCCTGGATTACAAGCGTCAGTAATGGCTGAGGAGCTTCCAATAAATGTTGCAGCTTTCGCTTGTTTCTCGACACATTTGCCCATCATCATCATCATCATCGTCGATATGAACATCATCTACCTACATATTTCGCCACTTGACGATGACGGGGCAAACAAAGAAGTGCTGCCTGCTCGGGCGACGAGCCACTCGATGCTGAAGTCGAGCTTCGAGTGGAAGCCCGCTGGCTCGAGTGGCCCATCGAAGAGCAGTTGAGAAGACGTTGTTCGCCTGCCGGAAGATGCATTGCAATTTTAGTTGTTGTTATTTCTGCTTGTTGCCGTTTGTTGACTGTCTAACTCACTCATCCGTCTGTTTTCCTTTCTGTTTAAATCTTGCAGCTGAGTTTCCAGAGGAAGACAGTGACATGCTGATGGAACCGAATGACTTTACGCCCATAACCGTGCTGCGCTCACACGAGCAGCAGCACTTCCACATGCCGCCCACAACTCAGCTACAACAGCCACATCATCGTCCAGTTGCTGTCACGCCTGCGCAGAGCCGTCACTTTCAGGCCGTGCCCGTGGAGCAGCAGGAGCAGTTCCGCCCCATAGCCAATCCGAATACGCAGCTGATCTCGCGGGCCGATGTGACGCCCGGCCCGGGTGCCGACTCGCACAGCCAGGCGGCGCAAAACTTCTATCCGCCCTTCTACCATGAGGCGCCGCCATTGGGCCACTCGCGTCCCTATTTCGCCGGGCCCGCTGGACCTGTGGGCGACACCACGCCGCTGCAGCTGCCGCTGTTGACGTCGGTGCAGCAGCAGCAACAGCAGCAGCAGCGCGGCTTTGATGCCGCCATACTGGGCAGCGGAGACTTTGGCGTGCTGCGCGGCGGCACCTTCTATCCGGAAGAGGAGATGCCCTATCATCCAGAGGACAACAGCGACTATATCTATGGCGATGCCAACAATGGTCATGGCCGGCCCAGCGAGTCCTTCGTCCAGAAGTATACGTATCCCGAGGAGCAGTTTGCCAACTTCCGCGACTTCGCGGACATCAATACGCCCGCTGACTCGGCCTTCTCACAGTTCGTTGTTGTGTATGCGGCCAAGAATGCGACCAAGCCCAGCATCCATCCGCACCCCAAGAACATATTCGAACAGCTGGAGTTGCTCGATCGCGAGAAGGCGCTAGAAGAGGCGGCCCTCAAGAAGCAACAGCCCAGCAAATCCAAATCGAAGCTGTCCAAGACGAAGCTGCAAAAGAAGTACAAGAAAAAACCGGTTAGCAAGGAGCTGGAGCTGGAGCCGCTGCTGGCACTAAGTTAAGCATTCCATGCAGCTGCCACCAATCCCTGCCAGCTGGGATCGAATTTCAACTGCGAACTGTGCACACATTTTTGTCCGCTGTTAGTTGTGTGCTTCATCAATTTTCTTTTATTTATTTTTTGAGCAAAGCGAAATTTCAACTTCAAATAGAGCCCCCTCTATACCCTACGCCCCGCCTCCGCCCTCATGCCTTCCATTCCATTGTACACGTGCCTCTACAGCAGCCCAGGCAGCATCGCCGCCGCCCCCGTTCCGTTAGTTGTGTGTACTTATTATTATTATTATTCTAATTATTATAACTATTATAAATGTAATTTTTTTTACCTGTTTACTTGCCTCACATTTCGTGTTGCATAATTGTTAATTCTACTTAATTATAGCCCGTAGCCTACACGTATTTGTATTTGTATTTGTATGTGTTTAATCGTATTTTATGATGCGTATCGATTACTTAATTATTTTTTGTTTAATTAAACATAATTTTACTTGTATTTGTATTGTGTGTGTACATAAAAAACCAGCTCTTAATTGTAATATTAATAATAAAAATACAAAAAAAAAAACATATATCGCATGTATTATTTTGGACAGGTGTAAAAAGAAAAGTATTGGTTAGAATTTGAAGTTGGAAGTTGAAAAGTAAATTATAAATAAATATTTATTAGCTGGACTGCAAATCGAACTGATAAGAGCTAAGCACTGACTTTAGAATTAGGCCGCATTTTCAGTAAATTTTCAAACTATTTTCACACGTTTTTTAGATGTAAAAAAAACTTGCTTAAATGGCAAATCTTATTTAATTTTAAATGCAATTAAATATTATCGATAACTTAAATATCAGCTAAAATATAACTATCGAAAGTAGCATTACTTTTGTTGGGTCACACTCTCTAGTCAGTTGAGAATGCCTTGCCAGAGAGAAGCAAAGGAAGTGAAGTCAGGTGACTGATTAGTAAGAAATTCTTGAGATTTAAATGTAAGAACAATAGATCAATGCTCAGTCTGACTTGAGTCTCTTTTGTGATTTATTCAACATTTTGAAAACATAACTTTATGTTGATTATAGTTAGTCAACAAGGGTTTCTCTTACTTTAGTTCTGTGCACGAAGCGTATTGAGCAGCGTGGTAAAGGAGCCTGCTGTGCGAAAGATCTACAAGCAAAGGGCAGAGTCAATGGCGGTTTAGTTGCTACTTGAATGCTGACTCACCCACACCAAGAGAGGTCTGCCCAGGACAAAGAAGTAGGCGCCCAGCTTAGTCTCCTTCTGGGCTCGCTGCAGTGGCAGCAGCAGGAGGCGACGCTGATGCGGCAGCAACTCGTGCCAAGGCAGCAGCTGGTAAAGCTGATAGGCAAATTGCTGACCCTCGTGACGCACCTGCTCAGCGCCAAAGCCATAAATACATAGCTGCGAGCTGACCACCAGCGAGAAGAAGCCGAGAAAGGCAATGTTCTGATTCGTGTGCGGCATTATATACTGACAGATCACCGAGCAGTACAACACGCAAATTAACAGCACCTCCACACAGGCAATGTCCCGAAAGCCCGCCTCGAAGCGAGCCACCAGCTGCAGCAGTCGAGCATGTTGCCTGAAAAGCTGGTCCAACCTATGCTCCAGCTCTCGACCAGCTGACAACTGCATTCGTGCGTTTTGCAGCAGCAGCTCGAGCCGGCGATAGTGCGCCGTCAGACCGAAGACGTACCAGCCATAGAGCGTGTCCACGCCGGTAGTGGAGCAGCAGAAGAAGGTCAGCACAGGCACCATCAGGCAGCAGTCTAGAAAGTATATTAGCGGCTGTGTGACATCGTAGGGTAAACTGCAGAGAAGGTAAGAGAGAGCTAGAGAGAAAGAGTCTCAGGCTACACGTTAGCTTAAAGTTGAATATCTTTCGGCCATGAAGTTGGCTTATACTTTTCCCAGCAGGCAAGATGTCAAGAATTTGCTAAAGACGTTTGGTGTATGAATATGAAATATTTGAAGGTGAGTCCCTGCGGATCCAGCTCCAGGCAGAACTATCTGTCTACTTAGACAAGTCAGCTTAGGTGCGTGAGCATCTGCTTTACAGAGAATGATTTAGTTTCTAAATGTTGTGCATTGAGAGCTCTGCGATGTTAGCTTCAGAGATGATGTTAAATTAAATGTAGAACATTTTGGGTAAGATTTGCGACACAGTATAAGACTAGACAAGAGACTCATACTTCAGAACAAGAACTCATCTCTGCACAGTCAAATCTGTTCTCATTTGTAACTCAACCCCAGTTGCCACTTACGCGACGCGAAACGAGCTGACGGGCACAAACTGTCCAGTGTTGTAGTAAATCAGAGCTGTCGAAGCGACGGGCATGACCAGAAAGGAGATGCTGGTGCCAGCACACATCAGCAGGTAGATGGCCGAGAAGATTTGGGCACGACGGTTCTGCACCTGCCAGACTCGCAGTTCAGCTGCATCGATGTTTGCTCGCAAAAAAGGCGTCTGGATGGACGCAATGAGAGACACCAGCTTCCGGCACTTGTACACAAAGATGGTCATCTTCAGCAGCGAGGAGACCATTTGGATGCCGTGCATCAGCGCCTCGGAACAGAGTACTATGTCGCTGCGATGCTGCACGATGAAGGCGCAAACGGTGCACAGCTCGAAGCTGGTGGCCAGCACCATGACGATGAAAGTAACCGGGGAGCGGAGCGTCTGCCGATCCGGCTTCAGCTCCAGGCCCATGAGGCCAAAGGTGAGCCGCTGCGACCACAAATTATCCAGACAGGCCTCCAGTAGCTTGGACATGCCGATGCCAAGAGTAGCAATGGCAACTGGAACTGATTAGTTTCTTCTGTCCGACTGCCGTTAATTTTTGTGTGCATCTCATTTATAAAACAAACGAGGGGGTGTGGGACAGTTGAAGCAATACCTTTACCTGAGTCGCTTAATTGGCCTTATAAATAAAACGTTAATTTGTCGGTCTTCATTAAAGCACACACACTAAAATGACACAAGCCCAGAAAACTTGGCTAAGTAAAACCTCATGGTAAATGATTTAATTATTCGCCCGGGGTGTGGGTCCGAGTCCACACCTACTGCAAGACATACAGGCACCTGTTTGGCACAGTGGGACAATGACAGCATAAGTTGTATGAAATTCCCAACAAATCTCTGCGAGTCGAGCAACTGACTTAAATGAAATATTTTGTAGAAATGGAGAGATGATCCAAGATGATACAAAAATTGATCTACTTTCTGAACAATCTGATCAGAGACAAACCTTAATTCCTACAAAACATATTTAATATAATTATTGGAAAAAGTAATCACAAATATAATAATGATAATGAATAATTAATGTATTCATATCAATACAAATTATATTTTTAATAATTAGTTCATAAATAAAACAAAAAATTTTTAAACGTAAAGCCTTTTGAAGTTAATTGACATCGATGCCACAGGCGAAGCGGCTTTAGTCGTGGTCAAGGCATGACATGGTCAAGGTTTGCTCGAGAGCCTGCTAAATTCGGTGTAAGCTATGCTGGAATACGAATCAATTAATTCACTAATTTTTATGATTTTTAGCAGGCTTAAAACATTGAAAAGGAAAATCAAATTAAAGAGTGCGACACAGAAAAAGTCGATTGCAAATATATCTTGAAGCATTTTGTGTGCTCTACCTCCCTTGCTCAAAATTACGACATGCTTTATGATATGAGCAAAAATGTTTAATAAATTAAGCTTGACATGAAATTTGGCTAAGTTTCAGTTGACATTTCCGACTAGAGCCGCTTTACTTGGAGTCTAATCAAAATTTCTTAAAGCTGGCAATAAACTTGTCAAGGACTTATCAGGATCTAAGGATGTATTTAAGCAAATCAGGCCCTCAATTAGTTTCTTCTATATTAAAAAACATTTACTTACGTATATTACTAATATTTCCTTTTCTTTTTTTTTTCAAATTAAATATGTCAAATTGTTGCATTCCACCTGGGCACCACTGTGAGCTGCTGCCAGATTCGTCAGTCGGCCAGCGGCTTAGAGTAGTTTGTCGAAAGGTAACTGCAACTGTAACTACAACTGTAACTGGAACTGCGAATGCTACTGCCTTTGCTGCTGCTGCCTCAGTCATGGTCATTGTCCGCTAGCGGTTCTTATTACATGTGGGCCTGTTTTTTCTCTCTTTTATCTATCTATCGACAGCCGCTGAATTCCCGGCTTGGCATATGTTTTGACATTTGGAGGCTGGCACTTAATTTACGGCCTCACCTTTTTCTGTACCCACACACACACACACACACGCACATTCACGCTGTGAATGTTGATACGAGTGTCAAGCCCAGGCCCAGACCCAGACCCAGACTCAGGCGCAGCGTGGAAAGGTGTGAGGAGGTGTTCGAGCAGTCTAGTTGCGTACTATGCGAGTATTTATAGATCTCGATAAGTCGGTTTTCCCGTCAGCCTCGCATTTGGGTGTGCACATGCGGTCAGTCTGTGGCTCTGCGATTTTAATTAACCAACTGCCAGTTGGAAACTAATTAAAACTCTTGCTACGCTTACAATGTACAGAAAATTCAATTATCCGTAATGCCGCCCATTTTTGTCGTGGGAAAACACCAAACTCGTTCCACAGCCAATTTGAATGAGGCCAAAGCCCAAAAGCCAATGCTGCGTGTACTTAATGTGCAGCAATATTTCAATATCGCTCATACGACACGTGTACGCCCTTTGTTTGCATTTCGAGAGGAATGTAATTTACTGTGATTAGCCAGCTAATTAATGAACTGGGTGTGCACTCGATAAACAGCCAAGCAATCAATCGGGCTTTTCATCATAATTAGTTTAACATGAGAACACACTTCCGTTTGACTCGCAGCCAGCATTAAACTAGTTGTCATTGTGCCTGTTAATATTGTTGGCTAAATCGGCTTTTGATTGCCGGCTCTTAAGTCATTTTTTGTGGCAGCTCGATTTGTAGCAATTTGTTGCGACCAATTTGAGTCGATTTCGCTTGCAATTTCTGTGGTATCACTTACATTTTTAGTGTTGTTGTTGTGGTTGTTATTGTTGTCAAATCAATGTTATATTGGTGACTCGTGCACTGACAAGCTATTTGTATCGATGCATCAAACGCGAACAGTTCTTAGAACTATTCAGTTCGAGCTCGTTTCCCATAAACTTAATTGCAGTTAATTAATTGTTGTCAACTCACAGCTGTTTCACTGAATACCCTACTCCATCTATGGATATCAAATTATTTGATACAAATATATATTTAGAAGTGACGCGTAGCAGGGCATATTCACATGTCTCTCTCGATGAAAGTCAAAGAAATTTATGCGCACTTCAACGTCAATATTTACAGCCAAAAGCGTATTGCCAAGTCGGAACAGTTTCAGGCCACAATTCTCACTTGGCGTGTCTTTGGCTTTGTTTTTTTTTGGCAGCTCTTGAAAAGCATTTTGCATGTTGCCTTGTGGCAAGCATTTGTCAACGCGCCTTGCTCAGCAACGAGAAACAAATTTGTTGTGGCATAGGGTTGTCGGTTTGTCGATTTGTCTGTTTGTCTGTTTGCCTGCTGTTGCTCGCCAGTTTGGCAACAACTCAACAGAACGCGCAGCTCGAACACCCACACGACAGTCAGCTGCATGAAAATTCGCGCTGTTGGCTAATAAACTTCAACAGCCAAGCTTCAACTGTGGGCCAAGCTCAACTGAAATTCAATCACACACACACACAGAGTCAGAGAACTGAGACTCTATAATAAGGCGCAGTTAGACAACTGGCAAGCACTTTAAGTGAACCCCCAAAAAAGGTTTACATACTCCACACACACACACACACACACACATGCACACCCCTTGGTGTGCTTTTGCTTTTGGTTATTTGCCTTTCGTGCCGCTGAAAACTTTATTAATATCCAAATCGTGCGCTTAATTGAAATTTATTGTTAATGAAAACAAAATTATGGCAAACAACTACAGCCACTTGACACGAAAGAACCAAAGAAACCCAAAACTCCAGCCCGTTACAGGCAAAGCCAAATTCAATGACCCAGCATGAAGATACAAGCTAGAGCTAAAAACAAGCTAAATAGAGTTGAAAAGTGCAGATTTTGTCGCCCACATGCAGCACATAAAAGCCAAATCGAATCAGAAACTAAAACTGAATCAGAAACTGAGAAACTGAAACGGCGATTGGGGCAGGTCGACAGCCATGGGTATAGACGGCATTTGAGTCACGGTCTCCGGCCAAGGGCCGCCTGCTAATGTTGGCTAAGCTGGCATTAATTTGGCATTTAAACGCTCATTAAGGCGACAGGCCCGACAATCATGAGTGACAGAATCTGTGGGTGGATATCTAGCTGGACATATACTCGCCGGACTGGCTACTCACTGCACTAACTGTAAAGCGAACGTGTCGACAGCCAATTGCATACACATACATGCTTGTTCTTTTGTGCACTGCGACTCCACTGTATATTTGGCTAATTATTTTAGTTATTAGCGCCATTTACATTTTCGACTATAGCATTTATTTTGTATATCTTAAGTGTGTCACATCATTAGCTGCCTCGCATTACCAATATTTCAAGTCTTTGGCCAGGAATTTTCAAACTAGTTGCGCGAACCGAATTCATTACTGGAAATTCGTCAAGTTCTTGACTTTAAAATGTTTTCAAAGTAATTCATAAGATTCCAAGGCCATGTCGATAGCATAAACTAAAGACTTTCTGTTCAATTACTATCTGTTACCAAACTAAATGCGTGCTTTTATGCTGTATCTTACACAATATATGCCAATATAGTTACCTTTAATTAGCTGCATTTGGATATTGTTCAGTTCCCAGTGTAATTATTATTTGAATACCTATTCAAAGTCTTTAAGTCAAGGCTTCAAGGTATTTCCTATGTGGACTAGCAGCTTTCCACAGGAATCCCGCTATATCCAAGTCAAGCACTCCCATTTATAGTACGAATTTGTTAGATCTTATACTGTTCTTATTTAGTCATCTCATACTAACTACATTATTACCTTAAATAAACCGTGCCAATTCTACTTCAATCCACACAAGAACCTGGCCAATGCTCCACTTCTGAAAGTATTTCACAATTTGTCAACTCTCTTGAAGAAGTAACTAAGAAGCAAGCCATTTAGATCTAAAGATGCAGCTGCCTGGTAGACCTCCCAGTAAGCTGACATGATTCAAGCTTCTTAGAGGCATTTACACGCTGATAGCAACAATTTGAAATGTAAATGCGAGAGGTACTAGAAGGTAAATATTGAAATGTCTCAACGAGCGAGGCTCAAGGCGACTTTGTTGGCAGCGGCTTCTGTTTGTTTAGGCTGTTTTTATTTTTATTTTTTTTTATTTTTTTTTGTATTCTTTATTTAGGCTTTTGCCGTTGTTGTTTTTTTCCCATCACGACGCTAAACATTCGCATTTAAGCCTTTCACAGTCGGTAGACATTGTGATGGCTACCCTGATGGCAGCCAGCATATTTAGCGTAGCCATCAGTTTGTTGCCAACTAATGCAAATAAATTGTGAACAGTCACTGGCAGCAGCACAAAAATAAAAAATAAAAACAAAAAAACGAAAAACAAAAAACAAAAAGCACGCCGTGCTCATCATCCCGAATTGTTGTCGCAGTTGCAGCTTACAGTCAGCGACGTCTTCGGCTCAGTCGCAATCGTCATAGTCAATCCACAATCGTCATCCCCATCATTGTCATCGTGGGGCACAGTGAAGCGAAGATTTGTGCGATGCATTTGAACAACGCTTAACAAATGATTGCTGTGACATTATTACCCAACAACAACAGCAATAACACTAACAACAACAACGTCTAAGTACATATGAATCACCTGTTAATACCCTTTAAAATTGCATGAAAGACGAAGGGCAAGTTGAGTCGCGACTGAGTCCTCAGTTAATCTGACTAAGCATCGATTGATACTGATAAATAACAATAGCTGAAATCGATTCATGTGTTCAGAAGCAACAGCTTAAGTCGATACATTATTGATAATAATTGATTAAATCGATTTTCTTAAAAAAGAACTTACAATTCGATAAATGTCAGCAGGTAAAAGGTTTTGATTCTTAATGACAGTGAAATGCCGATCAATAAATACTTAAAGCTCACTATCGATAACTAAAAATAATTGAAATCGTTT